AAAGAACCCCCCCCCCCCCAAATAGTACAGGTAATCATTAAGGCCCCTATATTAGACCCAAAATAATACTGGACTTTGAAGTAACCAGTAAGAAAAAAAACGTATAGACTTTAATTTCATAATGGTTCCCTTAAGGAACAGGTCCCCGAAAGAAATATTCAAGTATGGTACTCCAGAGCCCAAAATACTTGGACCCAGACCTTCGGTGGGGACCCAACAGCTGAAGCCCCGATCCGGTGCAGACTCTTGAAGCCAACAGGGTTTAGGGCTTAGAGGTCTTAGGGTTTAGGGGTTTAGGGGCTTAGGCGTTAGTGTTTAGGGTTTAGGGTTTAGGGTTTAGGGGTTTTGGCTTAGGGTTTAGGGTTTAGGGTTTGGTTAGGTAATATGGAGCCATCATAAGAGGGATTCAAAATGTTGCCTTGTCCTAGAGCCTGGACTCTAAACCTTTAAGCCCCTTTGAACCAGAATAAAAAGAACATTCTTGACAACCCCTTGGATTGGTATGATGGAAACAAGAAACTCAACACCCAGAAACCCTAATCACCGTACCAGTAGATCCCGAAGACTTGCTCCACAAACTCGGGCATCAAACATCGACGAGCCGTACTCCATCTTTCGCAAGTCATACAATCGAGGCCTTCCCCCAAACGTGCGCGGGACCATTGTTCGGGTAGTGCGGGTGAGTACTCACAAGGGCTCCCTCAACCCTAAACCCTAAACCCTAAACCCAACCCTAAACCTCCTAAACCCTAAACCCTACCCTAAACCCAAAACCCTCCTCAACCCTCCGAAACGCTAAACCCTAAACCCTAAACCCAAAACCCTAAACCCTAAACCCTAAAGTGCAACGTCGAAGCCCTAGAGCCGAAAGTCCCTAAAGCCCGAAGCCCCGGGCTCTTCAACTCCGGAGCGCCTCCCTCTTAAGGTAGCCCTATAGATCCCTTAAAGGAGCCCTTAAAGAACCTGTTATAGATCCCTTAAAGGAGCCCTAAACCCTAAACCCTAAACCCTAAACCCTAAACCCTATAGATCCCTTAAATGAGCCCTTAAAGATCCCCTTATAGATCCCTTAAGGGGGGATTTAACGAACCCCTTTTTTTTAAATCCCTGAAGGGGGCCCTCAAAGGAGCCCCTATAGATCTCTTAAAGGAGCCTTTTAAAGGAACCCTAATGATCCCTTAAGGGCTTATAATCTGGTGGACGGGGTCGGGTTGCGCCAAAAGATCTCAACACAATCCAAGTCTTCTGCCGTAAACATCCTACCCTAAACCCCAAACCCCAAACCCTAAACCCTAAACCCTAAACCCTAAGGCCCTAAACCCTAAACCCTAAACCCTAAGGCCCTAAACCCTAGAGTCTCCGGCCTCCATAGCCAGAACCCTATGGGTAGTTGTCAAAATTATGGTCCCTTTTGGGGTACCCTAAATAATAGGTGCCGTATTATAATAAGGACCCAAAAAGGGACCATAATTTTGACAACCACCCCTTTAGAAGCCGGTATAACTTGTCTAGACCCCGTCAGCCCCTTGCACAATCCAAGAAAAACCGTAGATGAATACGTGCCCATAGAACCTAAGCCCTAAACCCTACACCCTAAACCCTGAACCCTCAACGGCTACCTCTTTTAAATGTCGCCTCCACGGAGCTCGGCAGTTGCCAGCGTTGCCGTGCCTGCTGCAATCCTGGGCTAACGGGGCTTCAAGAGCTGACTTCTTGGGGTTTAGGGGTTGGGGTGAAGGGTTTAGGATTGATTTGATAAGGTTCGGGGTTTAGGGTTTAGGGTTTAGGGTTTGGGGTGAAGGGTGTAGGATTGATTTAATAAGGTTCGGGGGTTTAGGGTTTAGGGTGAATGAGGTTTGGGGTTTAGGTTGATGAGGTTTGGGGTTTAGGGTTGATACTGTTCGGGGTTTAGGGCTTAGGGTTAGTCAGGTTTAGGGTTTAGGGCTTTAGGCTTATAGTAGGGCTTAGTATAGCGGTGCCGCTATCAACTCAAACTATCAGAAGGAAGGGTTTAGATTGCTCGCTAGGCGGTGGCGCAGCTCCTGCTGTCACAGTTGCATGCCCTCCACTGTCCAGCATCACCACCACCACCGCCACCTCCACCGTCGAACCCTCACAGCCACCATCGCCATCACCACGACCACCACAACAAGCACCTCAATAGCCATCACCGATATTGTAAGTAAGAGCAGGAAAATCCTGCTGAGGTTTGCCGCAACGCTCATCACTATCGGAATCGGTATATCGGTATACTTAAAGGTTCATGGGACATAGTAATTAGGGTTATAAATGAAGTAACTATACTTATAATGACTTATAACCCCAATTAAGGTACTTATAACTGTACTGTATTAAGTCCCATGAACCTCCAAGTATCTTTTGCCCGAACCTCTCAAAGGTTTGGCACCGAGAGTCAGGGAGGCCCCGAAGATGCTCAGGAGGCCAACACGTCCGAAGAAAATCACCTCTGCAGGCTGCTATTGGCAGGGTTTAGGGCTTAGGGGTTTAGGGTTCAGGGGTTTAGGGTTTTGGCTGAAGTCTTCTAGAAATTAAGTCTAGTGGGCGTCAGGTGTAAATGAATCTTTGCAAAAGTGTCCATCCGGGTTGAAATGCCTTCAAAAGGCGTTACAGGAGTCTGGCGGTTTATTATAGGGGCCTTATTAAATAGAATAGGGTCTTGGCTTACGTTATACTATACTTATGATACGGAACCACCAAAATTTAAATAAAATACACACATAATATTACAGCCCCTATGTTAGGTGAGAATCTTGATTTTCCCTGATTTGGAGACTGCACAGAGCCTCCTGAATTCAGAATGGCGAAGGGGACTTCGTCTATCATGGGCCTGAGGGTCTCCAAGCTCGACTTGACATGTTAGTTTTTGCCAAAGATAATGACGCCGTCACTTTCAGTTTAGGGTTTAGGGTTTCAATGCAACCGTACGGCTTGATTTGCTGCATGCTTCTTCAGAACAAACAACACTGGCAGAACAAAATGCGATGTGGAAACATATCTCGCTAGGCTTGGACATTCTCAACTCTGACGTTTACCTTCAACACTTGTCGGGTTTGGGCTAGTGACAGCAGTTGGTCTTTGGGCGTTTTGGGCGGTGTTATGTTGTTTTTCTATAACGACAATGGAGAACTTGAGCCCTATGGAATAGTACCTGTAATTATTCGAGCTCGGCTGCTGATAAGCTCTAAACCAAAAGCCCTTAAACTGTTGCACAACCCTTGTAATAACTACTCTTACGGATCCTCTTGATGGCGGAAGTTGGGGATCCGCAACTGGAGTTTGGATTACACAGGACTAAGTCAACAAAGCTGCTGGGATCCAGGGTCGTATTTTGTCGAGTAGGGTTTAGACATTGGGTCTTATGGCCAGGGTTTCAGACGTTATAAAAATTTTCACATGTTTTGAGCCTCTAGCCAACCTTTTTCTGGCCATGGGTTGAGACGACTGTTCGCCAAGCTATTGGCGAAGGGAGCATACATTTAACGGCGTATGAGCCCGAGTAGACTCAGTAGTCAGACGTGATTCATCTCTGCCTACTGAAGAAAGCTACGTCTACCTTCGTACCAGAATTCTTGCTAATGAAAAAGTCTCAGTACAGAACAGGCAATGCCTGCATTACCTGGTCCTTGTCTGCCTTCTTGCCAGTATGTTCTTGACAGCACTGCCCAACCGCAAGCGGCAATTCATGCCATGTGCCTGCAACAGGAAAGCATCGACGGTCTCTGTCTGCACAAGCCTTGGCCCGGCCCAGGACCCTAAACCCCAAACCCCAATTTCTTAGCTTAACCCCGCAGCCCGGGAGACAAAAGCCGTTATTGGCCTGTGGCCTTTTCAAAAACACTAGAGAACTTGAAGCACTAAGCCCTATCGCATATGGAGGTTCGAGATATACTGTTTGAGGCGAGCTGGCCGTTCAATGCAGGCTTGGTCTGGGATTCCCATGCCTCAAAAATCAACATGTAGGCAAGTTGCTCACTGCTTTCAAGTGGCAAGGTTCAGGAGCGTTCGTGACGAACTTGCAATGTGGGCTCGGGCCAAGATGACTAAATGCTACAAGAAAGGATCGTTAATGTATGGTCCCGAGCATGAAGATTCTTCTTTAGAAGAAATTTTGAGGTCCCGTTCTATAACATGAAAATGGGACTGAAAGAAACTGTCTTACTGACGATTCAGAACCCTCAATTCTTTGCAGGTGGTGATAGTGGGGTGGGTGGTGATGCTATGGTAGCTGTGGTAGCAGTAGCAGCAGCAGTCGCAGTGGTAGGAGCAGTGGCACGTTGTCGTCGCCCGATGGTCGTCACTGGCACTTGTGGAGGGCGATACCGGTGGTCGTCATCGAAGGAGCTGCGATGTAGAAGTGGTCCCGACATGCAGCAGGATTGTCATAGGGCCCAAAACCTCATACGAAATTCAAGACCCTAAACCCTAAACCCAAAACTGCCGAGAGCGCCTCTGACCATTTGCACGGGCGCTCGAGGCTCCGACCGCGGCCCCCGGCCGAGCGTCTCCACAGGACGGTGAGGGAGGGTAAACACAGCCCATCCTTCGGGGCCTCCTGGGCCAGTCCTAGGGGGCCAACTGCCAAATATAGAGAAAAATACCCAAAAACAAATTCGGGTCGCCGCCCTTTTAGGGGCCTGAGAGGGTGCGACCTGCGAAGTGTTTGTTGGGAACCCGTGCTTCTCGTCGAGCGGCGGGCACAGGCCGTGCGGACCCACGACCCGACACTAAATAATCTCAGCTGTGGTTTGCTGTCAAACGCACATTTTCTTCAGAACTGCGAAAAGAAGCAGAGAGCAACAAAGCTGCCCTTGAGGCGGGTTTGGGGGGTGGGCCCTAAACCTAATTCAGAATAGTTGGGGTGGTTGAGGCGGGAC